CAGCCAGCCAGCGCCCTGGTCGCCCTCGGCAAGCTCAGCGCGGCGTACCTGCCGACCTCGGGGTAATAGAACTTGATCGCGGCAAAGGTCTTGCCGGCTACACCCCCGGCGCGCCCCAGGAAGAACGGCCTGTCCACGTACTGCGCCAGCGCCAGGTCGAGCTCCCCGACTGTGGTCCAGCTCACCCCCGCCTGCAGAGCCCAACCCAGGAAGGCTTGGGCCCTCCGCCGGCAGTCCGAGAAGGTCGCCTTGGCCACGGACCTCGACTCCAGGAAGGACAGCGGGCGCGAGCCCGGGAGGGGCGCCGACTCGGGCGATGGCGCGCGGCACCAGGTCCTCCTTGCGGTCGCCGCAGCAGCCGACGTGATGCCAATCATCTTCATCCAGTCGCCTTGCGGGGCTGCCAGCTCCGTCCTCTCTTTCGCGGGGGGCCGCCCGCTCCACGCTTGCGCTGAGACCCGGGAACTCCGGCACGGCTGGCAGCACCCCAGGCCCAGCACCATCAGCAGCCCCACCTCGGCGGCCTCCCCCTCCAGCTGCGGCTCGAGGTAATACAAGCCACGGGACGGGTTATCTGCCGGGCTCCTCCCCGACGGGACCCAGCGGAAACACGCGTGGAGGCGGCGCGCCAAGGCGAGGGCGCTGATCTCACGAAGTCTCGGAGCTGGAAGGCAGACGATCGGCCCTTCCCGGCGGCGAGGGCCAGCCCCAGGTTGTCGACCAAGAGCAGAACTCGACGTCTGAAAGCTTTCCGATCTCAAAGGAGATGTCGAAGCGAGTTCGAAACAGCGAGTCCCTCCAGCCGCGGCATGTTCGCTGGGCCCCGCCTTGGGAACGACTCGACGATATGCCATGCCTGTGGGGCAATGAAGCTCGCATCGACCATGTCGAAGGCCCTCGTGTGCTCGTCAGCCTGGCGCAAGCTGTCCGGCAGGTCGTCTGACGCGGGCAGCTGCTCCAGCATCGCAGAGGCATCCTCACCCCCCAAGGCGTGGGCTCGAGCGGCCGCGGCGCCCTGGCGGCACCGCCAGCGCCCTGCCGTCCGCCCCCAGCGCGCGATCTCCTCCACGGCCGCCTCGCGCTCGCAGACTCCGCAGCCCCAGTGCGAGGCGTCGCTGGCCGCGACCTTGCCGTGCCAGTTGGCGTCCGTGCGAGCCGCCATCAGCGGCAGCAAGTTCCTGACGTGCCAGAGCTCCCCCCTCACGGCTGGCCACAACTCGCCCTCCTCAATGCCCTTGGACTCGATGCAAGTAGGCGCGCACGGAGCTGAACGCCCACAGGGGAGACCGCTGAACCATCGTGATCCAGGTCGCATGACCCACCGCGATCTCGAGCTTGTGCCCTGAGCAGGCACGACGGCCCAAGAGCTCCTTCATAGCCAGACGCAGCCTCCAAACGCGCCCTGTGGATACCCGCGCCGCGTGGCCGCGCCCGTCGAGAGAGAGCCCGCGAAGTCCGTCTGGCACGCGGCCCCGTCGGTCTCCTCGTGGATCGCGAAGCCCTGGCTGGAGACCGCCTCCGCGACGGCAAGCCCCGCAGTGCCGACGTCCTGCTTCGGCGAGCCCACGACCATGAAGTTGTTGACGTACGAGGCCGCGCCCAGCGGGTACCATGGGCCCAGCGGGCGAGAGGCCTCTCGATCCTTCACGAGGACCTCGGCACGCCGGCCGCACCGCGCCAGCCCCTCCTCCGCCGCCGGCTGGCAAGTGGCGCAGCGCCCACTCCAGCCCATCGGCAACGCCGCCAGCGCCGGCGCCAAGAGTGTCGAAGCGCTGCGACCCTGCAAGCCCACCGCGCCGCCGCGCAGCGCAGGTAGCCTAAAGCAGGACCCCAAATCGATGGCGTAGAAGGCGTTGCTGATGTCACCGCTACTGAACCGGACGACGTCGCACTCCTGCGTCTCCAGCCTCGCGCAGGCGGCGGCCGAGGGCAAGTGCGTCGACGGCGGCGGCGAGACATTGCAGTTCGCCAGCCCGGTGCCAAAGGTGATCCTCTGCACCTGGTTCTTCTTGTTGACGAAGAACAAACCCACCGTTGCATTGCTGTTGTCAGGCTCCTCGGCGCGCACAAGGCGAGCCATGCCACGACTCACCAGTCCAGTCACGAAATCTCCGTGCACTCTGTGATCCCGAAGGGCAGGGTCAAGATAAGGACGTGGAAATCCGATCTCAGACCGCAGACCAGCCGCTGCAGCTGGAGGTCGTCGCATGTTGGCCGTCAGATCCCCCAGCGAGGCGGGGCGCTCGGATGGCAGCGCCCCCCCCAGGAGACGGGCTTCGCCCCCGCGGCCGGCCAGGACACAGCGCCCTGGTTGTAGGCCACGACGGATGCAGCGCACTCGCCGCACATGGCGGCGCTTCCGCAGAGCTCGCGAGGGCCCCCGCGGCGACGTACATCAGCAGGACAGGGGCCAACCGAGCAGTAGCTGCGCTCCAGGTGCTCGAGGCACATCTGCTGCACAGCGCCCGCGGCACCATCCCCAGCCAAATCACGTCCAGCAAGTGAGTTAAGGGATTGGATGCCGTCGCTGGCCCAGTCGAGAGCGCGGCAACGGCGGCGAGCACGACGGGCGACGGCACGGCAGCCAGCACCAGTCTGAGAGGGGACAGGGGGAAGAGGCGAGGGGAAGATGTCGCGCTGGCGCACCATCACCTCGCGGCCGACGATGCGAAAGCCTGCGCGCCCGGGGCCAGGGAGCAGCAGGCAGCCTTGATCGTGAAGTAGTCGTGGAGGTCAGCTGCCCTCCGCCCACTTCGGCCCCTCGGCCCCCGTGGCCTTGGCAAGCTGTCTCTCCCCCCCATGCTTTGCGCCTCTCCTTGGCGACGGCGTTCTCCCTCGAGATCTGCTCGCTGATCCG